TCTGCACAAATGGAGCAGTTGGGTGTCCAAGTGCTGTGTCCAGGGCCACCCACAGTTTGTCTGTGGGCAGAAATGCTCTTTCTGCAGGTGGAAACGTGTGTTTTTCAAGTACATGTTCTTTTGTTTCTTTCTCCCCCCTCCCCCAAGAGTGACATCTACCTCTGCATTTTTATTTAGTGTACGATATGTGGGACCATACTTTTGCATTTCTCTTGTGTGTTGGCTTGCCAAATCCTCAGTTTGTACAAACTGGCATAATTCCACTGAAATCAATAAAAGTGTGTTGACTAAAACAAGCAGAGAATCTGAATTCATTAGTTAGCAGACCATGATCCATGTGAACTCCTGGAGCAGTCTCCCACAATTGTTTTGGGGATGTACAGAGATCTTGGAGAGGCTACAAAGACTTCCTTTAAGATACTCTGTAAACCACAGCTGGCTGCTGTCTTTTAAGTACTTTTTCTCCTGTTGTCTTTTACAGTTACATCCTGAATGTCTGTCTCAAAGATTTTTTTTTTTTTTTTTTTTTTTTTTTTAGCTTTGGTATCCCTCTAGCAGTTTGTGGCTTTCCTATTCTGCAGGAGAGTGGACACAGTAATTTCATGTTTGTCAGTGTGGTAACCAGCAGCATATTGATATTGAAACCATGAACTGGATGGCATTTAAATGTAAATCTTTTGTCATGAACTCTAGGCTTATCATGGTTCATTATTTTGAGGCAAACCCAGTAATTAGCATGGGGTGTACTTTATGATAATTAGGAATGTTTTACACATCAGATGGTGATGTTGACTTTTGAGGGCAACCACCGGGACTCAGCTCTCACTAGATAAAATTAATATTTTTGCATCTCTTTGTTTCAGTGTTTCAAAATGCCTATGATCAAGTATTTTAACTGTTTAATCACTAAATAATAGATCCATGCGATCAATTAGCTTAATAGCATGATTATTTGGATAACTTGCCATTACCCATAAGTGATACTGTAGTTTAGATAAATAATTTATGTATTTTGTATTATAACTTGAGTGAAAAGTGAAACTTCCACTATCTTAATGGCCAGGTGAATGTTACTTTCCATCTATCTTGCCTCTTTGCCTGACCCTGGTATCTGAACATTCTGAACACTGGTATTGTAGAACTGTGGTATCTGGTCCCTTTTAGACTTCTTTTTCACCATAAAGACCTCGTGTGACATTTCTGATAGAGAAAATGATGATTAAAAACCAAAAAACACTAAACAAAACACAACAACTTATCTCATAAGGTCTCATGAAAATCTATTTGCAAACTTCAGATAAGTTAAAGTGGCTTTGTTAAAGCATCATCAAAATTTTAGGGCTAGCTTGGAAGTAGCTGTATCTCATGAAATCAAATCAGAAAAGGTCAGAATCATGTATCATGGATGTATATCCTAGCTGCAGAGCTAGGGGACTTATTTCTGATTTACTGTGAAACACAGACAAAACTTCTGTTGTAATTCATGGCTTGTGTGTTTCTAATATAGCAATGTAAAATACCGAGTTTCTGAAAACACTTTGGATGCAGACAGCAGGAGGGGGCAGTCAACCATTGTGCTTACTACAGGAACAAAGAATGCAGAGGCAGTAATGTAAAACAGTGCTGTCCTTTTACTACTAATACATTTCTTATTGGACAGTCCTTCTGTAATTGCATTCCAGAAATTCTGATCACTTCAATTATATGACAGTATCTGCAATAACTCCCAATAGTGACAAATGGGAAATGTTTTAATGGTTCTCTTATGTCTAAGAACCTTGAAGATACACCTCATTTATACATGAGAGGGAATGTTTAAGCTCATGAAAAGCTTACTGGGTTTGCATTTATTCTTTCTATTGACCCTTTTGCAGTTTGTACTTTTAAAATTAAAATAATGTGGGGGAAATTAAATACAATGGCAAGTTTAAATATTTGTTTACTAAATCATGATAGGCTTTGGCTTGAATTCAAAGTTCATTCCTACTACAACGTGCTGCCATAGTTTCGAAGGGTCAAACCCAGTGTTTTTTTTGGGGGGGGAGAAGTTATATTGAAAAAAAATTCTTTAAGTTCAAAAAAATTACAAGTGCTACATTTCAAGGGGATGAAATAATCTGTTTCAAACTAAGAAAGAACTTGTGGACACTTATCTATCTATGGAATATGTTAGATAATTTTAAATGTGTTAACTGTGTGGTGTCATTACAAATGCTATTTTTGGCTGAAAAGGATCAGTGATTGCTTGTAAAATATGGAGACATCAGACTATTTCAGTTAGCCCTGGCTGGGCTGTTTGGAATGTGGTCTGTGCTTCTGGAACTTGCACTTAAGGTAGATACATAGGAAGATAAAAAAAAGGAAGTCAAGACAAAATTATACAGACTTAAGTAAAAGAAAGGGCAAGGTAAAAAATTAATCTGGAGTGGGTGCCACCATGCAAGTACGTAAAAAAAAAAATGGTTTTCATTGTAACTCTGAAACTCTGGCAAGTAACAAAGATAAGCAACAGAAGAAAAGAAAGGAGGTGGTCAGCAAGAAAAACATGGTGTTCACATTAGGGAAAATTCAGGATTACAAGATTGTTCGGGTATTTTTTTTTTTTTCTTTTGAAAGACACACGATTGGAGTCCACTATCATCTAGATAATGCTTTCAGTTGAACTACAGACTACTTCTACATTTAACTCTTTGACTTACTGTATGCCACTTCACCATCTGTAGAGCAAGAGATGTTAGTGTGGTGGTGTTAGACTGTGCCAAAAAGCAAGTCTAACATATTCATCCTGCTGTGGTCCTGAATACCACAGACTATTGCTATCATAGGAATTCTTTGACTTGTATTTTTAGAGGTAAACCCAAGTGTCTTTCTGTACTTGCTAAACAGAAGTTATAGACTTGATGAAGAAACTGTTGGGTTATATGTTTTGACCCACCTTATTCCAGAAGTCAGGAAAAACCTGCAACATTTAGAGGTAAGTAAAAAAACCCAACTCCAAACCTTAAAACAAGCCCTTAGTACCACCTCTGTTGTCTTCAAGCACAGCATTGTGTGCACTGGGGATCAGCAACTGACCTCTCATGTATGGAAAGTATATTCCTTCTCCTCCTCCGCTTCTGTAAAACCAGTGCTCCTATTATGTCAAGGTCCATTGCGTTTACTGTGGCTTTGATATGCTTGACCTAAAAATATTTCTGTGAGTGAATTATTTACAATGACACTGAGGAGCAATTCTCTTGACTGTCTCTATGGCCTGTGGGCATTGCACTGAGTACATATGTATCATATTAACAAAAAAAAAAAAAAAAGAAAATTACCCTGGAACTTTTCCACAGTATTTCACAGCTACCGTTAGCAAAATGGGATTCTTCTGTGGCTTTACAGCAGGAGGAGAGATGTGTGAGCCAGCACCTATTATGAGGTGTGGAACAATGGTATTGTTTCGCCAATGAACATTCTGTAAATTACTAGTCTGTAAAAGTTGACTTCAAGTTGTATGGAATATTATATATCTATACACTAAGAAGACATTTTTCTTGCTATATGAAAACATTTCACTAAAATCCTGGATAAATTTTATATTGGGCACCATTAAAAGACACCATTGCTGCAGAGTCTGTTCTTCAGAAACTGGTACGAACTTGCCATCCATGTGAAAATATTTGTTTTATATTTGTAATGGATGTGGACTTATATCTGTGCCTAAGTCAATGATGGCTGATGTTTCTGCACCCTATGCTAGTAGGGTATGAATTGTTGCCGTTTCATATTTAGTGAGTGTATGAAACAAAAGTATGAAACAAAATTATGCTAAAAATCAGCGGAAAATATGTATTTTGAGGAAAAGTACTGCCTTAGGAAAGGATATAACTTGATCTTTTTCCTGAGCTGGAATCTGTCCCCCCAGCGCTAACCATTCAGACATCAGTTACCATAGAAAACACATGTACAGAAACCACTCATACTCCAGGACATTGGTTCTTTCCAGTGTTGCCAAATTCCAGAATCTTCTATTTTGATAAATATTTTTTTCTGTTAAAAATAAATAAAACAACTATAACTAGCATTAATAAATGTATTGCAGAAAAAAGACCTGATTTTTAAGTTCCAGTAAGGGTCCTTGATGCATGCTGTTGCACTAACATATTAGCTACCACTTAATTTGAAAATTTTTCCTTCTAGATAGAATATATACCTCTGAGTCCTGCTTTTAATATGATCTTTATCTATCTGCAATATATATCAGTAGTAATTCAAGTTCCTATTTTTGTAGAAATGAGTAAACTTAGATACAGGCATATCTCTGAGCAGTGTTGCTGAGAGGTCATACATCCATTGCAACCCCTTCCTTCTAATACTTAGCAGTCTCTGACCGCAGTAATATACTGTGGGTTCTTCTCTAGTAAATATTGTAGTGAAAAAATGTAATCTTCTCAAACAACAATTTAATGTCCAAACAATTCCATTACTTAATTTATTGGTGTGGCTATGTCTTTGAGGAACTGTTTTGTTGTTTGTTTTTTTTTTTTTTTTTTTCCTATAAATATCGGTCTCACATAGAATTAAGGACTGATCTATTAAATGATACAAATATATTTCAATCATTAGACTGGTAGCACAAAGTTCAAGAAGCAACTACAGTTGTATCCTCCTGTGATAGCTTTGATGTATTCTGTTTAGTTGCTACATGGTGAAAAATGGATAAAACAAGCAAGTACAGTACACAAGACATCTGTTGTGCTGAGGAAACTTTGTAAATAATCAGACTCCAGTATTGTTAATAGACCACCACCCTCCCACCCCCATTATGAGGAGGAACAATATGAATGTTGCATGATTACTTAACTTAGAGGTTATGCAGTAGGAATTGCTACCCAGAGTTGCACCATATCTAAAGGCAGAACTTACCTTGGATGGCTGTGATGTGAGAAATGTAGACTGGTCCTTCTGTGTGTCTGACCAGGTTAATAAAGGGTTGTAAGGAAATAAGGACCAAGTTGTGAGGTTTATTTACACTTTTATTTTCTTATTACTATCAGCAATATCAAGAGTGTGACATAGGCACCCAAAGTTTACAGTAATTTTATAATTTAATTACCGTTCCATTATTATTTCTGGATATACTTATATCTGTCATCTTTCAGATCCCTAAAGAAGGCAAATGTAATTTTCTATCTAATAGTACTTATTTAGCTGCTTAAAATCAGTTTCATATAAACTTAATCTTTTATTTTACATAACATTTTATCTGAATCTTGAAGTTTAACTCCCATTTGGTTTTGTCATGACAAGTGTAGAAGAAATTTTTGAACTATTCCACAACAACTGGTTAAAATGAGATTTAAATATTCTTTCCTTTTAGGCTCAGAGCCCTTAGGAGTGGATATACACAAGATTCTCTGTATTCTTATTTATTTCCACATACATACTGAATAAGAATTTTTGTTTTCAATGATGCTGAACCCCTGGAGGATAATATTCCGTGAAGAAGCAGTGATTTTTTTTTTTTTTTTTTTTTTTTTTCTAGTCAGCTGAATTAAACTTAAAAACAAGCAAGCAAAAGGTGGATATTCCCAACTGTTTTTTTTGACCAGAGAAAATGTATCCTATAAGTGTTTGCTTCTCACTACTGCTTTCGGAGCTGATGTTCCTCTCAACGGCAACTGTAAAATGTGGGGCCACAGTTGCATTCATTGTTCAGTGAGCTTGTCCACATAGTTAAACCCACCGACAGCAATGAATGTTGATTGTGACCTTTTTTGTAAAGCTTGGCAGGGTGGGGGAGAAACATCGTGTGGTGGTTAGGTTGCTATCTTCGGTGTTAAGGCCTGAAAGCATGAAGTAAGGAGGAGGATGGTTAGCTGGAGGGTACAATCAACGGTCGATGGTTTTCACTTTAATTACAAACTCACCGACAGCGTTGAATGTTCACTGAAGCAACCACTACAACAGAACTCCATTGACTTGACAGCATCCTCAAATGTCTGAAAGGAGGGGGGAAAAAATCAAATTTCACACAATGATTCTAATCATACAAATGATGTAACTTCAGTAATTTTTCTCTTACCAACATCAACAACCTTCTCTGCCCATCTTATTTCAGCCTTTGTGCAGGGAGCTGGCAGTTTTCCAAACTTCTTTCTATGAAAAGAAAAGATATCTCACTTATTCAGGCTTTAACAATAGATGTTGGGGATCCAGGCACAAGTGGATTAATGTTGTCTGTTATTTCACAAAACTGAACCTCACAGCAAAACAAAACCCAAGATCCCATATATGAATAGAGCTGGACAAGAGATCTGTGAATCAGTGTTGCCAATTATAGATTGCCCAGTTGAGTAAAATTTTTTGCTTACATCGTTCAATTGGATTTGAACTTGATTAGGATTGATGAAAGCTACATTTTCATTTAAGAAGGCTTAATTTCTCAATAACTGTCTTAAAGCTACTTCTGTATAAATTTTCATACATGTAGAACCTGTTATGATAATTTTCAGGAAGAAAAAGGTGAATGTATATGAATACTTAATGACCTAAATTTCTTTTCATATGTCTTTTTTAGGTGGCAGCATACTGTCCATCTCATTATACCATAAAGAGCTTATTTGTAAAAATTTCCACAGTAGCACAACATTTTTCCAATTTTCTCAGCTTTCCAACTCAATTGTCCTCATTTTTAATATAAGTATTAAAACAACCCCAAACACACACATGTAGGGTTGCAATTTTCATGTTATAGGGAAGGGGTTTAGAAGCTGCATCAGAAAGCAAAACATGGTAACCTAGGTATTTTACCTTATTTTCATTTGTGAGCAGAGTTCTCCTGAAGAAGGTGGTCTTGCAGCTCAGCTGGTCTGAATTCTTTTTTGCTAGGTCCACTCTTATCTTGCTGCACTGGAATTGTGACTGATTCATTAGCTTCTATGCTCTGTTGTTTGTCTACCTCGTTCTTTAGTAAAAAATGTCTTATACTCTTTCTCATCCATTTCTGATTAATTTAAAAATATTTATGAATGCTGGGGGTTTTGTTGAATTTCTTTGTACTTGCATAAAGGGAACAAGCACCAAAAGATGTAGGTCATAAGTGTGCTGCCTGTGTCTATTTTGTAAACAAACACCATGACAAGGACTTTGTCCTAGCTGTTTCAACTAATTGCTCTTCATGTAGATGTATTTATTATATGATTTAACTCAACTGTATTTTCTATCAAATATATCTAGAGGACAGAGTCATTAATATAGCCTGTTAGAGAACTAGACAAGAATGGAATAAACTAATTTTCTCCTTTATGGTAGATTAGATGTTCTATGTTTAGGAAGGCCACTGATTATATGAATATATCTGAATTTTAACCAAATGTGGCAGTAAACATTTTTTTCTTTTTTGCTGCTACAGAAGCATGGGATATTTGCTGCCAATATTTTATCTCCAAAGCCTGATATTTTTTTTTTTTTTATTTTTCAATTTTTGTACCAGCTTTTCCATAGTTTAATTCCAGGAATTAATTCCATGAAAGGAGTTCCTTACACCAGCATGAATGATGAGAGAATAAGGTTCTCCAACTCATTAGTCTTCTGTACATCTGCATCTGTTCAACATTGTTCTAGCCAAAGGAATAGACTTTATGGTTTAAAGTTGCTCATATTTAACATCAGCCTTATTATAAACTTTATTTCTGTATACCATTTCTTTCAGTACTTATTCCTATGCTGTTATTCCCTGCTTCCATCTTTCACTTGATATTTCAATATGGGGTCATGCTGGGCTGATACCTGGCAGTTAGGTATAGGGCAAGGAGAGGAGCTATGTAGAACTTGCAGCTGGGTGGACTGCATCTTAGAAGGAATTACTTTCACAGGTGGTTATTATTTCCTCCCCACCCCCCATAATGGAAAAACATCAGTATTTCCTTGGTTACATATCCTCTGTTGAAACAGGCTGAAACTTGTAAGTACAAAAACACAAAAAAGTGTTCCTGAGCTCCAGCCATGATTCCTGATGTGTGCAGGTTATGCAGGGTAAAAATGCTTTCATCTTCTCTCATCTGGTTTTCATTTTTTTTAAAATCCCTTACTGGGCTTAGCTAGCTGTTACACATGCCAGCTTTATTTTAAATTTTATTTCAGATCTGCAGGCTTATGTGAACATTCAGATTGGATGTATGTTTTTTTTTTATTTAAGGTTAGTAGGTCATAAATAAACCAAAGCACTTTCCTTGCTATGAGCAATAGGGTCATGATGTACATGAAATATCGCTTTAAAAAAATTGGAACCTAACATGAATTGACAGAGGTACATGAGGAAGTAGTTCATTGTGTTGCTGTAAAGGCCATAGGGATTTGGACTGCTAGAGCTGCCTGTCTCTAGGAATAGATTAGGTATCTTGTTTGATGACCTGTACTTAATTTAAGTGTCTTCCTTTGCCAGTCCTTCCAGAGGGCAACTGTGTGAATTAGAGCATCTCATCTTCAGTCTTCAGTCCTTTTCCTCCTCTTCATGGCCTGACCTAAATTGAAGATATGGGTGTTGTGCTGCACAAACAGACAATTACTTTAATGCTATGTGAACTGTATCTTCAGTTGTAATTAGTTAGCTTTTCCATTTTGTCCTTGATATATTCAACTTCATTGTATTGGTTAATACTGGCAACTGCTATACAGTACATCATGTTTAACAGCTGCCTTATGTAAAACAATAATAAAAGCTCCCTCTCCGTACTTAGAAATGGTGGCTGGAGCTGTGAAGTACTACTCTGCCCTGCTTATTACCCCACCTCTTCCTTTCTTCCTTCTCCCTCCCCCACATAAATGTTTGATGAAATATAAATAAAAGATGTCAGACAGGTCTGGCTTGCAGGCTACTTCAAACAGCTGTTTTAGTACTTCTAACAACCTTGCTACTTGTACAGCAGTGAGACTGCTTAGGAACAAATACTTAGGTGAATACACAGATCTTGGGTTTGTGAGGTTTCTTATGATTTTAGATAAATTCCCTAATGATGCATTAAAACAGTCTATTCAGATTGTACACTGGTTAAAATAGTATGTTAACATAGTTATATGGTAGATACTCTGCATGGCTTAGAGTATCTTTTTTCTTTCACTGGCATTGAATTACTACTGGAAGGTGGAGTTAAGACTTTTTGAATGCAAATATTCATTTGTAGAAAAGACAACGGAACAATAGTGTTAATACTCATATTGCAGTTATCTCATGGATACAGTTGTTGGCTATTTCCACCTCCCGCTTGCCCTCTCCCACAGTCTGTCAACAGGCTTTCAGTTATACACTTGGGGACAGGAAGAAATGCATTGCATGGATGTATTTTTAATTGTGTTGCAAAAGTGAATTCCAGTGGAAGTGTCTAAAAATGGCACTAACACACTTGGGATCAGATTCTCAGCTAGTGTAAACTGACACAGCTCCACTGAGGTCAGTGGCATCTGCATTTACACCAGCTGGCACCTGGATGCTCATCTGGAAAAAAGTGAAGTAGAATGATCAGTTATCAGTTCTTATCACCTTTTCTATTTTTTGTTGCATGTTCATCTTTTTATTAAACCTTTCTCAAATGACACATTTTCATGTTGTATTGACATTTTACCTGCAATAATTTAGCAGTAATACTAAATCTCAGTAAGTATTGACACTGCTCTGCTCCCACCAAATGGAATTAAATCCAACTGACTGTAGTTATTAGAAATTCAATTTATTCCTGGATGCCTTTGAGTTATATGTTGAAAGTAGTAAACCCTCTGCAGCTTTCAATAAGAAGTCCTTTTTCTGTCAAAATGGAAAGTGTTCATTTCTACTGTCATATTAAAACCTGCAAGAACAGAATCCAATAACCTTCAATGTAGTCTAGGACTCTCACTGTACTCTACAAACACTAACTGTAATTGTTTCTGCGGTGCGTTAGAGTATAGCATCCGCTCCCTCCTAATTACTTATCAGTGATTACAAAGCCAGTGTTTTTCAAGAAATTCAACTAGACAATCACAATGTTTTCACATTGCCTTCAACCTATGGAAACATCTTTGTAAACCTCTGCTGGAAAAAAAAGATGTTTTAGGGAGTATTTCACCATTTACTGGAGTACAGCCATCTCTGGAGAAAAGTAGCAGCTGCATAACATCTTGAAGCACTAGTGCATGCCAGCCTGAGACAGGAGGGAAAATTGTGATTGCCTCATTTAAATTCCACATTCTACAAGGCTGCTTTTTTGTACATTATGGTATAAAGAAATCTAAAGTTATGTAGAATTATCCTAGTTCTTACTCGTGAAATAAGAGGGAGGAAAAATCTTGGCACACTAGAAAACACTTTGAGGTGAAATAATAACCACAAGACTGTTTTTTAAACTAAATCAAAACTTGTTTGACATACATAGCCATCACAAAGCAATCTGCAGTTCACTGAGTCCTATCAGAGTTCTGTTGGCCCAGAAACCAGGACATCTACAAGTATGTTAGTTCATGTGTTTGTAGCTTTTGACTAAGTTTTTAGTAAGTCTGCTGTTGACTGTGCTCTTGAAATTAAACTCATCAGATAATATTACGTGTCTACAACACAGGCTATGAGGTGGGATGCTGATTAGCCAAGTTAATTGAGGAGCAGCAATGATATTAGTTCAATCAAATATTTGATTGCAATGCCAGAAATAATTTGATTGTGGAGTTCAAAACTGTGCTTTGCCCCTTAGAATTTTACCTGATTAATATTTTGTTAAATTTTGATATTAAAGACACTTCCAAAACAAAATTAAATGTAAAAATACCCAAGGCAATATTTGCTTTTTGCTTACTGCTTTAGACTTATTGTACCTCAGTCAATACAAATTGTTACTATTTATCAAATCATAGTTGCATTCATGTGTTCTAAGCAGACTTTTGTATCTGAACCATTGAGCCTGACTACAATTTATTACTTCATCCTGTTAGTACTTTTTGAAATTGTAAGAGCTTTTCCAACAACAGGATTGAAGCACTGGACTTATAAGCTTTGTTTTTTATTTAAACCCAAAGAATTGGTGAATAAATTCCAATACTGCCTGCAGTTTCCCAGCCTTTTGGATGACAATTCTCCACTCTTTGTTACTGGAACATATTACTATTTATGGAAGATATGCACATATTTCAGTGTCCATAAATCATATGCAAACATCTGTTCTTTAGATCAGTAGATGGAGCATGGTAACTGCTTTTTACATTAATATCCATGAAGTAATGCTCACCTACTGACATTATGCTTAAACTTTAATATTTTAGCAAATATTTCAGTAATTTAACTTTTCAGACAGTGTAAGTCAAAACAGTAGACATTGCAAACGCAGTCTGGCATAGTTCTGTGTGGTCTGTACCCAAAAATGTCAAACGGAAGTTGTGTGATAAAGGGGGTAAATACTAAGAGCAACATGATCAACTTGGCTAAAACACAAGAGGTTCTGTTAGTAATTCTCTGTTCTCATTACTGCCTTTGAAGGGAATTTCTTACCCTTACCCTTCCTATAACAGCCTTAAACAAGCATCCTTTTCTTATTTGATGAATCTGGATTCTGTGTAGCAGTTTAAATTTTTGTCTTAGTAGTATGATCTATTTCCCATATAATCCTGCAGGCAAGATTCTAAGGCCAATAACTGTGAAGCTGCACTCAGAAAACATATGGTATGTGTGGAAACCAAGACTGCATACAAGTTAAAATGTAAGATGTGGTAAAGACAGTGTTGCATGATAGGATGGGTGCTGGATTGAAAGGCAGAGGATAAGGGTTTTCTTATTCTGTTTGTCTTCCACCTCAATGTTAGTATTTTTTACATGAGTGTTTTCAGATATAAAGAATCTTCAGGATGTATCCTGTTTAGCATTTGTCAAGCGTTTATTTGGTTGTCATATGAACAGAGACTGTGGATTCATTGGTTGTTTTTCAACATCTCCTTTGTCTTTTTATGGGTATGGAGACTTGATATTTTGAGGCTAGACTTGTAAATGTCAGCATAGCAACTGAATTTTCATGGAATGAAAGTATGTATAAAAACAGAGGGTAAAAATATTCTGTATTTCTAAAAGTCGAGTCCTACTGTAGTTGTGTTAGACAACAAATTGCAGTGTTTTACCTGCAGAAAGTGGGCTGATTACTTTTAACTTGCCTACTAATCCTTGTGATTTTAAAAACCCAAACTGCTTCAGAATGAATGGGGATCCCAATTTTAGGATTTCTGAAGCATTTCAGTACAGTTTCTGTGTTGTATTTTAGGTTCTTCACAGTGACTATATGGCATCCATCCAGAAAAACATTTTTGAGGTCTATTAAAACATTTTGTTTAATTTGTGCTTTTGATTTTTAATTCCTTCTTAGAAGTTACCAGAAAAGGTGCTGTTTGAGTGCAAGTTAGCTTAGGGATTCTCAATGTGGCTATCTCGCTGCTAGAGCAGAGTGCAGTAGCAACTGGCTTTAATATCCCATCCCCCTCTTCTTTCTGAGTTACCATAGGAATGGACTGCGAGAATTACCAAATTCAAATAATTATGGTCCTGCTGCACAAAGTTTCTTTTGATCAAGAGCGAGTCATTTGAACCCTAATGTTTAGTGGGTAATACTTACAGCCTCATAAAAGTGCAGTGATGGCTGATATCTCATAGTGCTTTGAACATGTGAAGTGCTATATAAACAATATAGGGCTATTGCACACAACTCAAGCTATTAGCATTTGAGGCACACTGCCCCAGGCCCTTAGAGGGGAAATCACATCTTCACTGGAAAAGAGGCACCTTTGAGTTCTGTCTGCTTCCAGATGAAGTATAGGGGGTTTTCTAGGTAGCACATAGATATGAAAAAGCATGTTTTTTTCAAAAACTGCATTTATTACATGGTACTGGATGCTAACTAAAGGCAATCAGCACTTAGAACTGTGATTCTGAAAATGTAAGGATGGTAAACCATTGCCTGTTTGCATTATTTCCTTTGCTGTTGTAATTGTGTTTTGGCGTTCTTGTGTTTTCCTTTGTGAAATTTGTGCATGTAAATCTAGTTGTCGTTAACATACCCAGTATTTCTCATGTGTAATTTGAAACAGATGAGAGATTATGTTTCATCTTTGTTCCTAAAAATATCACTATACTTTACAGAAGTTAGACCACAGATGCAATTCGAGAGTCGTTGAACACTCCATGGGTGTCTGTGTGGAAATGTTGGTGAAATCTTGTTCTTAAGATATCAAGATAAATTAAGAAAACAGTAGAGGGGCACTTGCTAAACAGCTGATGTAACATCTGTCTTTTAGATCTGGAGGTACTGCTCAGATAGGAACAAAGTTTTCATAGAATTGGTGGAGTTGATTGATTTGTTTCATTTTGACTCTCCATCACATTCTGTATGCTCTCCTAAATAAAGGCTACTGCCTAGGACCCACAAGATATGCCTATCTTGCAATCACTACAATGTGCAGTCTGGGGTAATAGAAAGGCTCACGGCTATGTTCAGGGAGAAGAGGAAATTCCTTGAAGTCTTTTTATGCCAGTCATTTCTCTAGCT